TCTCTTACTTGGCCCACTTCCTGATTACAAGTTGGATTTCTCTTTTATCTTTTTGCTTTTTCTCTTTCCTGCTCTTTTCTCTATCAGCTTTCATCCCACTTGTCTCACCTTCTTCAAAAGTTTGATTCTCGTTGTGAAAGGAAATACTAACAGAACCTTTTTTATTCATAGTCACCTCCTTGTCTTCCTTTTTCCTCCATTATGTAGTAAGTCCTTTTCCATTGTAAGTTTTCTTCTTCCCAAGTGTCTCCTTTGTCATCTTTTCCTCTGATAAAATCTCAAATCTTGATTTGTGAATGTTCCTCTATTCTTTCCCATTTGACTTTCCTTGCATATAGGCTTTAGACTACATGTTAAACTTTGGCTCCACTTGGGTTGGTCTTTGCTTAATTGAATTTTTAGCTTTCATCATCCCCTCGTTCTTCTTCTAAAGGAACTCCCAGCATACTCATCACTGGATGTGGCATCTTTTCCTCTTCTACTTTATGCTCTTAAAATCGTTATGGATAGGGGAGGTATTCGGCTCTGAGTTTTGGTACTTCAAGTGTAAGGTCTCCTTTACTTAACCACATTTAATTTCATAATTAAGGTAATCAAGGGATTAACCCTTAAAGGATTATCAAAATTAAAAAAATTGCATAAAAGAGAAAATTTTCAAATCATATACAATTGAGATCCCACATGAAACATTTCAAATCACAAACAACAACTTATTATGCTCAATATAGAGTTTAAAAATGATGCGGAAGCTTGGGAAACAAATAGAACCCATCATAATGAGTTTTAAAACTCAAAACTAAATTTTGTGTAGAAAACGTGACGTGCATCACAACTTGTGACATATACGCCATAGCTTACCCTTCTATGTGCCATGCGCCGCGGTGTGATGCGCCATGCGCCATGGTGCATTATACGAATTTGACAGACATCAACTATCAAAATAACAATACAGGGAGCAAACTTCAAACGTGTCCTAAATCTTCATCTGATGTCTAATTGTGGTGGTTTTAGTGTCTACACGATACTTTCTCCTAACTCTAACTAATGGCACCCGTTTCACACTCAAATTCTTTTTTTATAAAAAGTTGAACGCCAAAAACCATTTTATCATTTTTTCACAAAAATCTCACAACTTCGGTGTCCTAACTCAACTACAAGTGCCAAAAGCCTACACCGATCCTCCAACCACACTCAATAGACTCTAAAGGACCTATGCAACACACCACACGCAACCACAAACACATATTTTTCAAAGTCATCACTCAATTTCAATTTTCACAAAACATAAAGGGGAGGAAAATCATGCACAAAACCATCATTTTTATTTTAATTCTTTCAAAATACACATGTTTCTACTTGTACAAATATTTTAACCCTATCCACCAATTTACAACCAAAATTCACTAACCCGAGGCACAAAATACATAAGTTGTACACTAAGCTAATGCAAGTAGTGCAAAATAATGACATGTGATCTTAGTTGGCAATTGTGTTAACATTTACACATAAAAACAATAAAGAGAGGCATACAAAAAGGATTACTCTACAATCCTTAGCCTCTATGTGTTTTCCCAACTTGAATCTAATGAGTTAGGCCCTGAAAATATTGAGAATTGGGAAATGGGTACAACCATTCAATAACTAGGTCTCATCTAATCTATATAGTTACATATCAATTATAAATAGATGCAAATAGGCACAAACACAACTTTACAATAATATGATAGAATTAGCCACGATTCACAATACTAACAACCATATGACCAGGCCAAAACACATATATTCATTTTAAATTACAATGCACAACACATGATTGCAATAATAATAACCATGTGCCCCTAACTCATATTAAACCACAATACTAATAGCCATATGGTTGGATTTATATGCATAATCATATACCAATCTTATACCCTCCTATTACTTCCGACATAAAATCAGCCATGTAGCTACATCCTTCACGGACTAACCCAACCTTTCACTTGTGAGGAGCTACCGAATCAAGGTTAACTTGCTTATGTAACTCAATTTTTCCCAATATTAATAACCATAGGGTGTTATACTCCTAATCTAACCTTCCTCATGAACTGATGGAAACTAGTTGGGTTTGAATCCCTCATAAAATCAATGGGACAGTCCCAAATTAATTATAGGACACAGGCTACCATCTGATTTCAATGGTCGATGGAAGTTCTGATTCAATTATCACTATCAATACCACGTGAATTTATTTATCTACTCCTCTCAATAGGTGAACTCCCGCCAATGATCATGCTATGCACATTTTACATATTTATGTATTCTAATCCACAATACATCTCACATGAAATCATATCTCCCAATTCACAAACTCCACATACCCCACAAGTCAAAAACATATTTGGCAAACTCTCACAACATGCTATCAAACCAAACATTATCAAACACAAATGGATGACATGCATAGAGTTTTCCCATTTCAAAACCATTTCCTCAAAAATCATCACATTGTCAATTGCATCATTATTTAAAAATATAAATCACGTTTCAAATCAACCATTTTAATAAACAAACAATTAATATTCAACTATATCAATTAGGTTTCCCTTGGTTACCTCAAACATTTGAGAGATTAAAGGCTTACCCCTCACACAAAACACTTTCAAAGCTTTTCCAAGCTTGAATGATGCCAAATTAAATCACACTACAAACACAATATAAGAATATCATCATTATCCCATTTTGTGAGTTTTCTAACATAAATCTTCACACATTCTATTATATCAATCCATAAATTTGCTACCCATTCATACCCAATGGGTTCATTAGACTCCATTAATACACATTACCATTAACAACTCCTCAAACCACCATGATAGTCCACCAACACTTCCAACAACCATATTAAATATAATTTTCATATGTTAATGGCTTTACCCAACAAACTCTTGATAGAATCATCAATATAAGATTTAATTACGTCAAACAAATCCTATTGTATCCATTTTATCTAATGGAATCGAACCCATAACTCCTGTGGACTGAAAATCAACATTCCAACTCAAACCCTAACTCAAACCTTTATAAATGAGGGAGAGAAAGGAAGAAGAAGACATAGATTATTTACCTTGAGTGTTTGGGAGCTTCAAACTATCCTCAATGTGATCTAACAATGTACCCTAGCAAAGCTTTGGTCAAGCTCTTCATTTTCTTTCTCTCCTTTTCTCTGATTTTTTCACACAAAGACATATCTAATAAAGCAAATTTTTGATCATGCGTCACGGCGCACGCAGCCCTCCACCACGGCGCATGGCACAGAGAGGTCACTACATTCAAGTCCACCCTTATGCGCCACAACGAATTGATCACATGTCGTAGCATGTGACATAGAGGGCATTCCTTTACTTTTTCTTCCTCTTTCCTTGCCCAGGTAGCCCGCCATCGATCCCGACCCACTTTTAGGGCTAAAATTATAATAATTTACATCAATTGGGCCCATCTGGCTACACACCTCATTAACTTAATAATCACACTCATTAAGTTAACTAATCATGATTAAATTTTCTCCAGATGTTACATCAACAGAGGACAATCCTCTCTTTTGTGTTCATAAATCCCACAGTTAAAGCAAATAATTTCCAAACCTTCAAACTAAAATTATAAATACGGTTCCTTATTACAAAAGGGGATTGGAGTCTTTTTATTTAAATCTACCTTAACACTAACTCTTGCATAATGACCCCTATCCACCACAATCCCTCGGGCATTACACTTGGCTAAGGTGTTCATGTCCAACTTCAATGCTTTCCCTACCTTGTTACCTATTTCCAGCATGAAATCTTCAAAATAACAGTGCATAAGAAGTGTTGGGACTCTCATCCATATTGCTAATTTACCAATACTATTACAATAAGGATTAAAATTCGGGCTCCACCGTTGTGCAGCCAAATAGTGCCCTTGAATAACCCAAGGACCGTCAAATAATAGCTTACGACACAGAGATAAATCCTCAGATTGGAAGGTAAAATAATTATTAGGGAGGTCAATAATCTCAAGTTGTCAGTTTTCAGCAACCACTTAAGCCTGTCTCTCATTACCTTCAAAACTATGTGTTTGCCCAGAAGAGTTATGACTAGTGCATCCTTCCACGGTCGGCATAATTCTCTTAAACGTTCGTCGGACATTTCAATCGGTGGCAGAGCATCCATTATCTTCCTATGTTCATCAATTAGAACTGGAGTAACTTCCTTCTCTCCTTTCAACCAGTCTTTCATGAGATCCTCGAAATCTTGCTCATATTTCTTCTCTTCTTCCCCTATTAATTTCTCTCTGTATGATATAGGAGATTTACCCACAACATTAATTCCAAGTTTTGGCACTCTGTTTCCTTCTACAGTACTTCTCTCCTCCGCATCCTTCATCAGGCTGTCTTCAGGGTGCATATTCTCGTCAGTACTCAGCCCTCCGTCTTGCACCTTAATATTCTTAGCTATGGCGTCCTCATCTTCCTTCGATAAACCATTGTTTTCACTTCCGGCACTGGTTCCGACGTTGCTTATGGGTGACGCGTGCTCACTGTTTCCTTTCTCACTCATCTCACTTTTCTATCAATAATTTTAGGATAGAAAATTATTGACAAAAACAATTTTAAGATTTAAGATTTTGTCCTAGATATTCACTTTTTTCAGAGAACAGAAAATTTTCAAATTTTTTGGGAAGAGCATGTAATATCCAAGCAACAATTTCTGAAGAAGCATCAGGAATCAAATCAAGAGTAATGGAGAAGATATCTTCTTGACTTGCAAGAAACAACGACAAACTGAGCATGTCCATTACAGTAACACCAAACACATTTCATATAATCAAAACAGGCTGCTTACACAATTTTACCTGAACAGGACGAATTCTATAAGGCTTTTGCCTCTGTCCTGATTGTAAACTGGAGAGACATGATAACAGGCTGCCTAGAACTACCACCTTGGTTTTTTTTTTTTTTCGTATGCTGTTTGGAGTTGTGTTCATAAGAATCAAAGTAGAATATGTAAAAAAGAAAAGCATAGAATGAAAAGGATTTCATGACAGCTTTTCCATGTACAAGTTCAATGACGTGGAATGACAACTAATGCACATAAAGGTACAATCAGATGAGGCTTTGAGGTATTAACAAGCACGATCTGGTATACAACAAATCATCTTCACCTGCTACAAAGCAGACCAACACGAGGGAAAACTAATTAAATACATCCACCCGATTTTCAGATCACAGATTTATGGACAGCAAACTTGTCATGAACTAAAGGAGGAAATTATCTATCATATGAAAAACGACATCAGCACCATCTGAATTCATCCAGTAGGTTTTCACCTGAAAGCAAGACAAGACAGATAAGAAATGAGAAAAAGGAACTAGTAACATCCAACAAATACTCAGATTCTAATCTAGCAAGACAATTGCGAAAGTCAAATTGGAAGAATTAATCAATTAACCTCCGAGATAGAAACAATCAACATTTGTCCTCAACTGGAGAGGAATGGGGATGGGGATGGTTGAAAATCATGTACTTTCTCACTCTTTTCCTAGCTGTCTTGCACCTTAGATATCTTGTTTAATTAGAAAAATGGGGTCGTTGATTTTTTTAGATTTCCCCCTATACTTTTTAGTACTTTATTAGTCTTTAATTTAAATATTCATTGACTTATTGGAGAATTGAAAGGAAAATTTGTTCCCACCTCACCTTCTTACCATGATTAAAAACAATCAGAGCATCCCCTACTCTGATTTTATTCAGCAATTACCCTCCGTAGAGATTTATTTGGTTCCTTCCTTAGCCATCATAGAATCATAGACCCCCAATTCTAGTGATTCTCATAAATGACATGAGTGCAGTGTATTTCCTTGGCATATTTTTATCCCGTTACATTTAATACATTTCTTAAAAGAAGCAGAATGAAGAAAGCAGTTGATGCTAACCATCGAAAGGGAAGAAAGCAGTTGGTGTTAATCATCAAAAGGCCAAAAGGGTTACACCACCCAGACTGCAAGGAAGCAAAGAGTTTTAAGTTAATAAGCTTACCTGGATTGTACTGTGAGCTATATAACGCTGTGTACTCTTTTGGAAGCTAACATCCACACGCTCCCATGGTACTTGAGTGAGACCCCTTATCATCTCCTCTGCGTGGGGGAAGAATAACATATTCAGAAAAACAAGGAGACAGAAGTCTAAGGATCAAATGCAATAGCCAGTAAATGCAAGACAGCAGCATTTTGTATATATGCAGCTAGTATAACATTATACTATATATTAGGAGTTCATTGTTAATGAAGCCCATTGAGGTAATTGTTGCATGTTAACATTAGAAAGTGATCAATGAACATGTTGACTATGATAAGTCAGGACTTCAGAGTAGGACAGTAAAGAGCTTCTCATAGAAGACGTTACATTGCTCTACTACATGATCACAAAAACAAAATAAAATAAAATACACTTTCAATTTTCACATTATATTTCCACTTAATATGAACGTGTCAAGAATTTGTCGCTTGGTTCTAAACACACAACACTAAAACATGGTAATTTACATGTATTTGTGCCCCAGCAAACCACAAACTTCAACAGAAAGGCATGATGGTAATTTAATCTGCTATAAGCTAATGATTCTTCCCTAGGCACTGCCCTCACCTGCAAATCGTGTGGTCCCAAACACAAGACATGATCTTCTGGATCACAGTTCCAGTTAAGTTTACCCCCTTGTACCCCTATTACGTACCAAACTAAACCGCAACCCAAGTAACATTTATCTTAAAGAAACTTATTTATATGGACCTTGTTTTCTAAGACTACTTACACACACATATACACACCTGCCTTTCCACTTTTTTCTTATTCTATATGAATGTTCTTGAACTAGAAAATCCAACTATCAATCAATAAAATCTCAAAAGTAAAAATCCAAGACAAAGAACTCCTCTTCCCAAGCATATAATATATAGCATTATGCCCAATCACACAAGAGAAGTGTGACATTACTGAATAAAAATACAGTATCTTAAAAAGTCAAAAAAGAAAAGGTACCTTCCAATTCAATTGCTTGGTCACTGATAGCAGAAGATGCTTTATTGTGACTCTGGTCATCTTTGGCAGTTTCCCCTTCAATATATACAATATGAGGATACTTCTCATCAACTACAAGTAGATTGGCCTGGCAGAAAAGAAGGAACAGAATTTAGTGTGAAAAAACCATACAGCCAGAAAGGCAGAAGAAATGCGGAAGGCCTCTACCTTTGGAAGTTCATGTTGACGCCGAATAGATGATGTACGCCATCCAACCATATCTTCAAGGTAAGTTAAGATATGTCTTGGAAAATAAAAATTATTGTTAAATTTTTAGTTTGATGTACCTATTTTTTCCAAATTGGCGATATTAATGCATGTCTGTTTATAAAGAGTAAATCTTTAACTCTCATCATAATGCAATCATCGTCATCCCATCATCCCAAGTCCCATTTCATGATATACTTGCTCAAGATTCATTTTAGGGAAAAACATCTCAACATATAAGCATTATATCAAACTAAAAGTTAAAAAGAGGATACGATCATAATTTGCATTTGCATATGCCACTCGACGCTTAAATGCACGTAAAGCTGATCTACACCATCAGTAACAGTTGGATGAGCAATAACAAAAATGAAATATAAGCATCTGATGAAATAAACTGACAAATTGACACTAACATGAACTTTAAGTCGTCAGAATCACCAGCCATACGCAGGAGAAGAGGAGGCTGTCCATCATCATTATCCATAAGGAAGAGATGCTTCCCGGATCTCCCTGCAACTATATGTGCAGTTTGGGATGCTCTTCTCTCAAGGAAAGGAAGACCACAAAGAAAGGGAAGCTAAAATCACAAATAAAAAGTAACAGAAATAAGGGATGATGTTCCAGTATAAGAACTTGAGACTTTAATGCATGAATAAATTGGCACAAGGTCAAGAGACTATTACAAAATATAATAAAGGTACATTCATCCAAATAAACATAACATGAAAAGATAAAATCAGACAATGACTTGGATAATTCTTTCTTATGAGTATCAACAACCAGACCAGGCACACGATATTTCTCACAATTCCAAAAGTCATCTACTTCCAAATAACAAATAAAAGAAAGAACGAAAAATCTCTTCCGCTAGACTGCAGGAGAATATATTTCCTTCTTTATGTACATTTTAGAGGAGTGCAGGGATGGGTTAATCACTTAAGATGAAGTTGAAAGTAAAAGGAAACGCACCCTTCATAAAACATTTAGTGCAACTTAGAAAAAAAATGCATACACAGAATCAAGCCCATGCGGCATCAGACTTGTAAACATGTTTCCAATTACTCATAAATAGTACACCCTTAAAAACAAGTTTTTGGAGATACATAATGACCAAATCTACCATGGAAAAGAAAAAAGCATTCAAAAGTCAACTCCTTTCTATAGTGAATATGTCTCTTCATTCATCATGAGTATATCATATAAAAACTAAACATCCGAAGTTTAAAATATCATAAAATAAAACAAGAATGACTACTAATCTTCGATTGATGGTTCTGGAATCAAATGGGTAAAATCAATCAGTGTTATCCTTTTATGAAACCTGGTTTCATAAGAGTGTGTGCAGTAAACAAAGGGCAAATAAAACTAAGATTCCACTTATCACACCTTATTTACGTTAGCATGCCTTCCAAATACCAGAGATGTTAACAAAAGTGGGTCAATTGAAAGTTTTAGAGTGGAGAATGAAGTGCATAGATGAACCAGCCCCAAAGCACTGGCAGTTCGAGAGTAATTTTGGTAAAAAAAGAGAAATAAAAAAGAGGAGACAAGCCAAAAATACCCTCAGAGAACAGAAAAAAGAGACTTAATAATTATACTCAATCATGAAATGACAGTTCAAGACAAGCTTAAGCACCTGTCTATGTCCTCTTGAACCAAGATGTGGTGTTGCAAATGTTATAAAGTTCATTGGCTCCAAACCAGCAATTGTGGCTTTGTAACATTGTTCAAGGCTTTGCTTTGAATATTCTGTCTTCTCTTTACCAAAATCATCTCTGGTTGCATTGGCACCAACTGGCCTCAATGTTGAAGAGTAGTCATAAAGTCTCCCAATAGCATATCTTGCCACCAAACCTCCCAAAGAATGTGCCACAAAGGAGATCTTTTGCACCTCTGGCCAACGTCTAACAACAGACTGTACCTGCATAAAAATTATTGAAAGCCAAAGATTCAGATATTAAATAAGCCATTTCAAAGTTAATATTCCTATGAAATTACAACTGAACGGTCAGGAAATTACGAGAAATTAAGATGTTTATATGTCCTGGAAAAAGGAAAATATCATTATTACCGAAATACCTCTTCAGCTAGCCTCTCACCCATTGTGTCAACACCGTCAAATGTCAATCTTGAAGAGTTGCATTCACTGCCTGTCCACAAAATATCAAGTTAAATGCAATAACTAATGCCCTCTGCAGAAAATAAAAGAGATATTAAAAGTAGGCAATAATGAAGTTGGGCAAATTCACAGCATGAACCAGAAGAATATGCAAGCAGAATGATGTTTGTACTATATTGTTAATCAAAGGCAAAACCAGTACAAGATAACTTCATATCTTTTGCAATCACTCTCCCCTTTCCTGAGTAAATTATTTTACATCAAAATTACATAAAAGAGAAAGACAGAAAGAATTCCTCTGAATAACAACCAAAATGAGAAAGTACACAGTTTGTCATGCCATCACTTACAAAGTGATCATCAACCCAAGAAACAAAGTTTAAAATCCATTAATACGATTGATTATATTGCTTATATTCCATTGCATTGTTGGCAATGAAACCTGTAGCTAAAATGACAGGAATACTCACGGTGAACAATAACTTTATCTGGAAGCTTCTTCACAAACTGCTCTGCAGCATATCGCCAATCTGCAGGACTGATATGAAGTGCATTTCAGCTCACAATATCGTGCAGAATAAAAATGAAGTTTAATTCAAAAAGATGTTCCATGGGGCACAAAATTCAGCATAGATTGATGGAACTGCTTCTATTCTTACTGGAAAGCCAGTACAACTGCACCTCTCAAAGCAAGTAAAAGTATATGGATATCCTCCAGTAAGCACACACATGAAAGGAATTTGAGATATAAAGGCAGGCATGTTAATTTAGAGGGAAAATTAGTACAGATTATCTGCTAAGTACTATCATGGCCTTAAAAAGGGGATTTGCAGGATTGAGAGGCCCTAACTCATCTAAAGGAGAATTTTAAGACGCTCAGGGCTTCCAATAGGTGATGCCCAAAGAAGATATGCATTTGGAGCCCCGTGGGAGGGCACTTACTTATATGGAATAGTATATCTGCTAAACATTGACAGCTAATTGAATAGCAATTTAAACAATCTGACATCAATGATAGTCTTTTCTGTTTTTGAAATCTTCCATTAGGAAACTTCAAATATACTAACCACCAAAAAAGAAAAACTTAAAACATAGTCAAATGCTTAAACTATGTTACTCTCTTGTAGCATGTTTAATTTAAGAAAATAAAATTCTCCCGGTCCTTTTAATTTCCTCACTCTAGTGTTTTATGGCGACCATACACAATCAACTCTTGCTATGTAGTAAGTAAAAGACTTAGTCTATTTAATTCTCCAGGATTTTTCCGCCATGTAATGTCCTTGAGTGGACCGCAATGACCTAAGAAAAGCACATATCTTTCAAGAAACCGGTGAACCATTAACAACTTACAGAAGCAGAAACGATAAAGAGCATGCGCAGTGGCATATTACCTCCCGATTATCCCATTAACCATAATTACAAGGTGCTCGGAGACTGGCTTAGACACGCCAGTGGAGACATCAAAGAAATCCTCCCCACCACTATCAGCCTCCACCTTTAAACCCTTATCGTTGGGGTTCTTGAAGCAACCTCCGCCTAATCGCCGGACCACTTCCATTCTGATCAAATTGAGGGACTGCTTATGCGTAGCAGCGACGCAGGGTCTGGATCGAACACGTCGATCGAAGAAAGTAGCGCCGAAGCGAGACAGGCACGGGTTGCGAGGGAGTAAAGGGGGTTTAGTTGGGAGCACAGAACCAGAATTGGAGGCGAGCATGCCCAAAAACTTAGGGGAAAAAAAGCAATAAATAGAGAAAGAAGATTGGAGATCTGATTAGTGATAGCTTTAAGTTAAAGGCGACCAAAACATGAAGAAGCTTCTGATGATTTGATGATGACGACGACGACGACGACGACAACGGGGGCGTGTGGCTTTCGCAGACGGAAAAGACAAGAATGGATGAAAGCGCGGACAATTCAGTTAATATTGTTTCTGTATTGTCCTTACTGGTTGCTCCGACCCCTCCTTCGCTCCAATGGCGAATCGACGCATTAGCACATTGTACTCACTGTATTCGTTAATTTATTTACAGTCTTATCGACATCGTTCCTTTTTTTTTTTTTTAAGGGAAATAACCTTTATTCTGGGTTTAGCTTATCCTGAATTCTTGATTCTCGAGTCTTGACTAATTCAGTGATTCTAGAAAGTGAGTGCCTGGAGAATTAAATTTAAAATTGTGATTGAAAATAGTATAGTGATAAAAAAAATTAATTTCTTATAAGTAAAACTAAGACTTAAGTTAAATTATGATGAATGGGTCAATATGCTTTGAAGTTGTTTTTTTTTTAATTTTATAAATTTAAAATTGAGAGAGAAAGAAAAGAAATACTCTTATAATCATATTTATAAAACACTTTTAACATGTTTTAACATAATCAAAAAAATATTAAATTTTATTAACTTTGTTTAAAAATTTAATAATTTTTCAATTTTACTATATTAAATATACATATTTTAATAATATATTTTCTTTCTCCAACATTCAATATGGGTCAAATATAAAAATTTATAATAAAAATTTAATAAAGTGACTTATAAATCAAGCTAAAAAAATTTTTTTCTACATTATAAATAGTAAAAGAGGAAGTAGTGTGTAAGCCTATTCTTTTTTATCTTTTTTTTTAATTTGCAACGACAGTTGTAAAAGGAAATTATAAAAGGCCTTGTTTTTTTCAGTAATAATGAGTTAAAATATTTTTTAAATTTTTATTAAAATCAGAAGAGCTTTTTTTTTTTAACTTTTACTGATGAAAGATAAAAATAATTTTTCATTAAAAAAAAAATTGAATGACAGAATTAAAAGTATACTTTAGTCTAAAGTTATTGTATTTTCTACACGAATTTCTACGCCATTGTTTACCCTACATCTGTTAAACAATAATAAGAAAATTGAAATATTAACACGTTTTTGCCATTCTAGATCGACCATTGATAATTTATTTTATCCACATGACTATATATTATCGTTGGCAGAAAAATATCAAAATTTGTGGCTGTTTGAATTTGATTATTGACATCGACTTGACGAAATTTTGTATTAAAAACAAAAAGGTGAGTTGAAATTTCCGAATACGACAGCATCAAACTTTAAAAAAGCGTTACGGAAATATTATTATTAGGTTATTGCCAATTACTTGGAGGTATACTTATCGTCAAAGATTCAAAAAAATCACACTCAAGGATTCCAAAAATACAGCTAATGATTAAAAATTACAAAAAAGAACTACGAAAATTTTAGTAGTTTTTTTATATAATTTTTTATATTTTTTATTATTTTATAGTTAATTAATTATTAAAATTAAATTTTATTAATAATAAGAGTCAAATTATATCATTCTCGAATATGGATGGAAAATATTGCACAAAAAACAAATTTAGAGTTTTAAACACTACCTAACATATAGTTTAGATATCAATTTACTATTTTACCCTTCCAAATATATATATATATAACAGATAATGATATATTAAAATATATAATAATTATTAGCTTATGATCAATTTTAAATATACTGGTATGTTGATATATCATATACGTTGAGTAATGATATGGTTTTCCCTAGCTTGAAATATCTTATTTCAAATTGAAATTTCTTATTTCAAATTGAAATTTCATTGAGATTGTGCAAGAACTAATTTTTGGCAGGTAATTTTTTTCCTTATACTCTCTCCATTTAAAAATATAAGATATTTTTAATTAAATTTTATCTTTAATAAAATAGTTACCTGTGTTTAAAATAACTCTATTTTTTTATATTTACCCATATTTAATAGGGCATCTCACCGTAAAATAAATATAAAATAATTTATTTAATAGTGACATTTTTAAAAAAGTTAATGATTATACATTAAAAAATTAAAAATATCTTATATTTTTTAACATCCAACCTCTTAAAAAATGTCAATCTGACAAGAAATCATTGGTTTAAATCATGTTTTAAACTAGCCAAAAAATCACGTTGTGAAAAAATCATTTAGAGAGAATTGCAATCAAGTTCCACACAAAAAAATTAATGTAGTTTAGTACAATTATTAATGAACTTTATAGTAATTAATTTTTTTGTGTAAAATTTTAATATAACTCTTCCAATCATTTAAAGATCTGTTTATGGCATGACAAGAAAATGTAACATTATTGTAACGAAAAGACATATCCAACATTTATTTTAAACGTAACAGATAACATAATATACTTCATTTGTTTTCAAAAAAAAATACATGTGCCTAGGCAAAAAAAAAATTGAATAACAAAAAGCATAAGCAATTGTTAAACCAAAAATAGTTTATTCCAATCGATGTTATCAAGTCTCAACAAATTCAACATAAGTTGACAAGCTAATCATGCTCATTATTTTAGTAATTTGAATATGCATCTCAACCACTCAATCAATAAGTTTTTTTTTTTTGGCTGAATACTCAATCGATAAGTCAAATAGTGTGAAAACAACTTTGGTTTATTAAAACACAAAAATATCCTCCTCAACAAATAAGGACTATAAAAAAATTTTTGTTTGAAAGATAAAAGGTTTAAAGCTCTTTTGAAAGAATTTATCGCAGTAAGGGCTCGTCAAGTTTATATCAAATATTATTTTATGAAGACATATATATGTTGTTAAAAACTAAGCCTTAATTTATTAACTTGTTAATTTTTTAAAGAAACCTTAACAAAAAATACAAATTAAAATTCAGTTTTTAACATTAACATATATGTATTTTCACATGTGACTTACCCCTTATGTTCAATGTTCAATGTCAGTCTCAATAAAATGGCTCACCCTCTCCAAATATTCATCAATTCTCGATTCACAAATATCCATCATTTATTCATAATCTAACACAAAATGTTAAGAAGACATGATGGGGTGAAATTCATCAAGGTAATAGCCATGTCTCATAACCACTAATAAGCCTCAATATTTGTTTAAGAGTACTAACTAATTGCTAGTACACTTAGATAAAAATTCAACAATAAAACGGCTTAAAATTGAGACTTTCAAGGGCACTTAATCCTCTCTTCATACTTATTTTCATTATATAATCAAACCTAATTCGACCCAAATCAATCCCAGCAAACAACTATCTCTGTAATATAAAAATGAAAATTGAACACTTTTCAAAACTTTGTAGTAGAGAAAGTAGCCATGTAGTTGTCTAATAAGCCACAATTTTTGTTTAAGAGTATTAAATAATTATGAGTATTCTTAAACGAAAATTCAATAGTATAACAGCTTAAAATTGAAACTCTCTTGAGCACTTAGCCCTCTTTTCATACCTAATTTCATCAGATACAATACAATCAAATTTAATTCAATCCAAATCAATCACAAAAACAACAACTAGAAGAGAGGATATGCTGAATAGTGCTCATAAAGTTTACAATTTGAATTGTACGATATTTGATAGGATTTGAATTATGAGGTATTTATAGAAATAGAAATAACACACAAACAAATGCTAATGGGTATACATTCTAAATCAAGATATAACCCAATAACTAATAAACTAATTATTGCCATTATTATAAAATTATAACAAACTACACTAAAATCAAGTTAGTCAGCATATCAGTCACAACACATCACATTGTAAAAAGAAAATAAAAGAAACAGCAATAATGAGGGTACAAACAAGAAAAGAAAGATAAAGACAAGAACAGGATTTGAGATATGCTAATGAGAGGCATTATAATAATATGAGAAAATTAAAACAAATGCCCAAGTCAAGAGCTCTAAGCCAAGGGTCAATCAAAGGCATGAACGTAGCGAGAGACAACAATGAGAGGCACAAACACAATAATGAGCATGAATGAATAAAGGGGTTGATTATAAATCTCAAAGTCTAGGTCAAAAGCATGAAGGTAGAAATCAAATAACATGACCGAAAAAGAGACAAGATGCGACAATCAAATAGAGAATGAGGAAGAGACAAAGGATGACAAAGGCATGGCAACAATCCAACCTCGATGAAGGATTTAAGAGCTATGTGTTTAAGGATTAAAGCTATACCAACACTTCATAGAGCACGGTGAAGCTTCGGGGCATGATGAAGGATAATGACAGTAATGACGGTGGAGAAAGATGAAAAAGACAACGTTGAAGGTCCATTGCAAAGAAAATGAAACTAAAGAAGGCAGATTAAAAATTTTAAAGCTATATAGGATAGTTCAACATAAGAACCGTCCTATATGTTTTCACATATAGGACTGCTCAAACATAGATCCATCCTATATGAGTTTTTTTTTAAAAAAAAAGTCCTTAAAATCTTGAAACAGAAATAGGACAATTCACAAGTCCTATATTGTTAATAAATAGGATGGTTGTAAATAAACCATCCTATATGTGTTTAGTTTTTTTTTTTTGCACCTACATCCATCTTCTTATATAGGACAGTTGTGGAGACAAACATCCTATATAAGACACCTTATATTTATAGTTTTGTAATAGTGACAAGACAATATCCAATACTAAATTGATAGGCTCTTATTGCAATAAATTCTCTTAAGAGAGCTTTAAATGCCAATCTCTCAAGATAAGAGGTATATTAATCTACTTAATTAAGTTTTCTCTATGTGTAAAGGTTAGAAATCAAAATTCCATGATTTATTTAAAAGTTGAAAGTCTCTTTCACTCATGCCACACTAATTAATTTATGAACAAGTTGTTTTATTCTATCTTAGGGCACGATGATATAAATATAACATAATTATCATAAATTGTAATGAAAATTGTAGGATTTGAATTATTTGAAACACATAATCCTTTAATAAGAGGTTTTTAAGTGATTCTTCTTCTAAATTCTCATTGGTATTTTATGAGGCTTCTTAAAAGAAGATCCAACCATAACTTTTTAACTCAGTTAGTGATGACTTTTTGACCCGTTTGGTTTTCACTTTTATCATTTAAAAAGTCCTTTTTAAATATAATTTAAACTTAAATGTTATTTGGTGTTAAACTTTTTTAAAAAGTTCGTTTTAAATGTACTTT